TATTATCAGGTATATCCAACAATGACCGTACTACTAACTTTCTGACATCTCAGTGGTCCCTCCCGGTCTTGGTGGCATAGTTTCCTTGGTTTATAAAATAGATTGCTGATATAATTGTGTTATAGTCTAACTAATCACGGCTTATTAAAGCAATGATAATTAGACTTTATGCACACTCTAGGAATCTGGTGGCTTAGTGGCTACTTGTTGGCGACACCACAAGGTCAGCTGTTTCAAACGCACCACCCTCTCGGCAGGAGAGAGAGGAGGCTTTCTCTGCCCGTAGAACTGCCCTGTCCTGTAGGATTGCTGGGGATCAGAATCAACTCAATGGCAGTGTGTTGAATTTTGACTTTTAAGCACATTGTGGACTGCTAACTCAAAGTTTGTATGTTCAAGTCCTCCCAGAGGCACCTTGGAAGAAAGACCTGGTGGTTGACTTACTGAAAATCCTAAGGAAGACAGTTTACTGACAGACACGAAGTTGCCATGTTTCAAAATGGACTCCAGGGCAACTGGTTTAGATTCTGCATTGTAACCAAGTGAGATGTGAGTTTAGTACAATTTCCATATTTTTAGTTCCTATCAAACAATTGTAGTAATGATTAAGAACTAGAAAAACCAAAGTAATATAACAAAAGAATGCCACTCCTGGTTGTTTTATTCTTCAAACTTTTGTTCAACAAAACAAAATTCCAGTGACATTGAGTTCATTCTGACTGACAGTGACCCTCAGGACAGAGTAGATCTGGCCCTGTGGGTTTCCAAAGCTGTGGCTCTTTACAAGAGCAGAAAGCCACAGCTGATTCATGCAGAGCAGCTGGTGGGTTTGAACCACCAACCTTGCAGTTATAGCCTCGTGCTTACCCCCTGCCTCACCAGGGCTCAAAAGGAAGGCAGGATTGTGTGTTCCTTCCACCTTGTGAACCTCATTTTGAGGGGAAGAGATTACTCTTAGGAAAATGGCCTCCTGTTCTGCAGAGCAGTATTGTTTCTTGCTGTTCAGTGACAACAACCTTTACATATCATTCACTCAGCAAAACATTTATTAAGCAGATTTGTGTTAGTCACGAGAGGAAGCAAAATGAATGAACCGTAGTCCCGGCCTTCAGGAGGTTCTGAGGACTCTGTACATTAAATGCTGGCTTTTGACTGGTTCACCAGGCTCTTCAATGACAGGCCTGCGGTAAGAGCTTTAGCTCCTTGAGTAATGAAACGGTTCCTTGCTCAGATGCTCCACGTCAACACGGAGCCTTCAGTTCTGAGCAGAAACGGCTCTCAATGGGTAGTTCCTAAGGCTAAAGTCATGCTGCCCCCTCAAAGTGTGGACCACAGACCAGCAGCAGCAGCATCTCCTGGGGGTAGGGGACGGGGTGGGATGGGGCTGTGGACTCTGGCCCTGCCTGGGACCCAGTGAGGCAGAATCTGCATTGTGATAAGATGTGTTTGTACACTGAAGTTTGAGAGGCTCTCGTCTGACACATCATTTCTCAAGCGTTAGCTTGTGCACGGTTCATCTGGGAATCTTGTTAAAACACAGGTGCCTGGGCCCTACCCAAAGGAATTCTGACTGTATGATGGGGGGCGGGGAGGGGGAGGCCTGAGAGTTTACATTTCTTCTTCCAGGAGATGCCAGTAACAATTGTTCATCCGTTAGGTGCCTCCGAGTGGGCTACACCCCATAACGACCTTATGCGAAACAGAATGCAACACTGCCCTGTCCTGGACCATCCTCACAGTGGTTTCTCTGTTTGAACCCATTGTTGCAGCCACTGTATCCATCCATCTCCAAGAGGGCCTTCCTCTTTTTCACGGCTCCTCCACTTTCCCAAACATGATGTCCTTCTCCAGGGACTGGTCTCTCCCGACAGCTTATCCAAAGTACACGAGATGAAATTCCTCCATCCTTGCCTCTGGGGAGCACTTTTAACTGTCCACTATGCCTTCAAATGCACCAATTCGTCTTCTTCGGTCTTCCACATTCAGTGTCCACTCATGCATCTAGTGTTGCTAAATCACACAGTAGCTAGCACTGAGAATAAAAGGGAGGAGGGAGGAGGAGAGGGGGGTTTGTTGCACAGGGGGCTTGGAGGCAGTCAGAGGACAAGATCGTGAAGGACCTTGAGTGTGGTGTGAAACTTTTCTCCTGACATGTGCCACTTCTGTGTCAGGATGCCTGTTGTTAAAAGCTTCCATGTCTAATTGAACTTACTATTGTGTGTGTGTTTCTCCCCCTATTCTTTCAGGATTAAGCATGAAAACATCGTTGCCCTGGAAGATATTTATGAAAGTCCAAATCACCTATACTTGGTCATGCAGCTGTGAGTACCTTGTTTTATTGATGAAGACAGACCAAGGGTTGCAAACCCAAATGCCTAAATAAAAGAGCCATTGAGTTCAATGATTTCACGTAGTGAGCCAGGTCAGACTCTACGGCGTCCTGAGAACTGCGGGACACAGGAGAAGGGTGGATCTACCTAAGGCACTGGGTGGTGTACCGGCCTCTCGTGGGTCAGTTTGCAGCCTTTGGGCTAGGCAAGATTCAGAGCCTGCCAGTGGCAGACGATGCTGCGATTGCAGGCTGCTGGTGCTCAGGATGGCTATGTTGCTTTTTAATGTGGAGGCCCAAACACTGCTTCTGGCAACGCTTCAGTGGGATATACTGTGAGATAGACTGCTCTCGGGGAGGACCCCCGCCTCCCGCTTTCTTTCCAGAGGTGCTGGGAGCAGGGGACAGAGAGCAGATTGTAGCTGGGTGCCCGTGCCTTCCCATCTTCTCTTCCTCTGACAGATGAACTCTTTGGTGACTTACTTGGGAATTCATGTGAGACCTGTGACGTCTCCCTGGAGTCAGACCCTGGCATTTCCACCGCATAAGGCAATCGCTGCATCCCAGTGGCACAGGAGAGTGCCGCCTAGGGAAGGGGTCAGGTTGCTGAGTGTTCCGGTAGAAACTTGAACATGTGCTTTTTAAACTTAAAGTGAAATTAGCTGTCCCCCTCACACAAGTGCCATAAAATTCCTAGGAGTCTCCCAGGACTAAGCTTATTAGATGCCAGTGAAGGAAGTGGTGCTAGCCTGTTAGGCTTTTACTATCACGGGAGCAAATGAATAAATCCTGTAACATCATATGCAGTACAAAACAGGGTTTTGTACTCCCGAAAAGAGTTGCAGTCTGAGAACCTCACAGGGGCAGTGCAACCTGGCCTTGTAGGGTCCCTGTGAGTCAGCATCAAGTGACAGTGAGTGTTGGATGTCGAACATCATATTTTTAAAAAACGTTTGATTGTGAATTGGATGAAGGTTTACAGGGCAGATGATAGTTTTATACTCATCAGTTCCAATATGTTCGGGTTCACCTCACCCATTGCCACGAACCTTCTCTCACCGGCTTCCCCACTGTGTGTGCTGTTCCTGCCTCACCCGCTGAACGTGGTCATTGCAAGCATGCTGCCCTTCTGATTGGAAAGAAAGGGTCAGTTGTTCTAATACAGGGGGTGATAAGTTCAGTTCCAGATCTGAAGAGTCAGGGCCTTAGTCTTGGGGGTCCCACCTGGTCTGCTTGATCATTTTGAGTGGAATATCATAGTCTCTCTCCTTCTTTTATATTTTTGAGCTTTATGATTAAAGAAGTGCTCTGTTTGCTTAAGATCAGACTGTATACTTACTTTTCATGATTCATGACTTTCAGACTCTCTGCCACTAGAACTTTTCAGAAGAACTGATAGGCTATCTCTCGTTCATGTTTTCTGGACCAGTGTTTAAGCAGCACACGGACTTGGACCATGTTGGGCTGCATTCCTCCGCGCATTTATTTACCCCTTCATTCTCATTCCTAGATTGCCAATAGGAATTTGTGCCAAGCATTTGTGTAAATGTGTTTAAGTGTCCAGACTGGTAGCACATATGCTATTTTTCTCAGCCCTCCTTCTAGAGGGCAAGGGACAGGTCCAGTGGTGACCAGCAGCATTCCCAATTTGGGTGGTCAGCCATGGTGCTCTCAGTAGGAGGGATCATTGAGTGCCCGGTCCACTGTGATTTTGGACATAGACCACTGGGCCTTTTTCCCTAGGACGTCTTAGTCTGGAAGCGTGGCTGAAATCTGTTCAGCATGCTAGCAAGGTGCTAGCCTCCACTGAAAGACGCTGGGGGCTGGACCTGAGGTGCATTGGGATGGGGGTGCCAGGGATGGAATCCCCGTTTCCCAGGTAAATCGAGAATTCTACCTCTCAACCACCATTGCCCCCATAACTCCCGAGGTGCAAGTTCACTCTTCTCTTTGTTTTACAGTTTTTCACATTACCAGTTCTTTCTGAAGAACATTGGGTGCCCCCAAATCTGAGCATGCCTTGAATGCTTATGTGATTTTCAATTTTATTTTATTAAAAGATCATTTTATTGGGGGCTCTTACAACTTTTATAACAATCCATACATTAATTGTATCAAGCATATTTGTACATATGTTGCCATCATTATTTTAGAAACATTTACTTTCTATTGAGCCCTTGGTATCATCCCTCCCTCCCCCGCCCGGTAATCCATTCTGCTCTTAAAGAAAGCGTTCTGGTGGTGTAGTGCTTATGCATTGGGCTGCTAACTTCAAGGTCAGCAGTTTGAAACCACCAGCTGCTCCACAGGAGAAAAAAAAGACTTTCTACTCCCATGAAGAGTAGCAGTCTCAGAAATCCACGGAGACAACGCTGCCCTGTTCTACAGGGCCACCAGGAATCATAATTAACTCAGTAGCAGTGAGTTTACACTTCAAGAAGCCAATTCATCCCTTTCTCACCAAAGATTGTCTGCCCACAGGAAGAAATGTCGCTTTGGTGACTAGGGACCCCCCACCCCAAATGCAGTATATTTAAATGTGGGAGTTTTAATTTGGCAATGCAAGCAAGCCCCTGATACTTGAATCCAAAGTATTGGAAGCCCTTTCTAAGGTGGGCATGAGTTGAAATCCATTAAATGGCAGTGGGTTACATTTTTTGGTTTTGTTGTGCACCGCTAAGCTGTTTATAAGCGCGTTACACAAACTGGTGCACGTGTGATATGCTTGTTATGAATTGTTAACTGCTATTCTTTTTTTCATTGGTTCTTATTCCTCCAAAAAGCAAAAGCAAACAACAAAAAGCCTCAACTTTTTGGAAGTGTGATTTAGATATCATTAACCGCATCTATTTCAACTAAATTCCTGGATGAATACGTGTCCAGGAGGCACTGCCAGCATCCAGAGGAGAGAGTTTTCAGCCCCAGCCCCACCGCAGTAGTGACTCCTGGGCCCGTGGGTCCCCTTCTTCCTGCTCCTGCCCCATGGAGCCGCCCACTACTTTGTGCCCACTAGAGATTATTCTGTACTTTCTGAAACGTCATAAAAACGGAGTCGTACAATATGTGGGTGGGGTGGGAGTCATACCTGGGTTCTTTCACTTAGCATGTTTTCCAAGTGGGATCACGTGTCAACACTTTATTCCTTCTGATGGCTGAAAAAAATATATAGATATACCACATTTTATCCATTTATCAGCTGGTGGACATTTGAGTTATTTCTACCCTTTGTCAATTAATAATGCTGGTATGAACATTCATGGAGAAGATTTTATGTGAAAATATGCTTTCATGTTCTTGGGGCAGATAGCTAGGGTATGTGTATGGTAACTCTGTGTTTGACATTTGAGAAACTTCCAAATGAATTTCCAAAGTTCCTGGCACCCATTAAAAATCTCACCAGCAATGGACCAGCGCTCCGATTTCTTCACATCCTTTCCCATACTTGGTACTGTCTTTCTTTTTGATTATAGCCATCCTAGTATGTGTATTTCATTATGGATTTGATTGGCATTTCCCTCAGGAGCCCTGGTGGTAGAGTGAGTTACATGTTGGACTGCTAACTGCAAGGTCAGGTCTTCGAACCCAACCAGCAGCTCTGAGTGGGTAAGATGAGGCTATCTTTCTGTAAAAATTTTAAGCCTTAGAAACCTTATGTAGGGTCGCTACGAGTTTAGTAGAATGGGTTTAGTGGAATAACTAGTGACCTTTAGTAACTTCTCATATACATTTTTGACCATTTGGATATCTTTGGAGAAATAGCTATTCCAACAAATCTTTTGCCCCTTAATCAATGGGATCAATTGTTTTTTTTTATTAGCTTTTGATTTGCTTGTTGTTGCTTTGCTAAGTGAGGAGGCTTCAAAGTGTTTGTAGAAAAATGGAATTAAATATAAAGAAGTGTTTTCATGAACTTTTAAAAGTTCATATATATATGTATATACAATATACATATTACATATATACAATATACATCCTCAATACTTCCCTTATTAGACATATCATTTGCAAATCTTTCCTTCCATCCTTGGGTTGTTTTTTCACTGTATTGATTAGGATAGGGTATGAGCATTTAAAATGTTTATATAGTCCCGTTTATGCCTTCTTCTTCTCTCATTTGAGTTTTGGGGGCTTGGTGTCGTTGAGAGGTGTCCCTGAGTTGATACCAACTCATAGTACCCCTCAGTACAGCAGATCAGAACGCTGCCCGACTGTACGGTACCTTCACCAGGGTTCTGCTTGGGCCCACTGTGTCAATCCATCTCGTTGAGGGTCTTCGTCCTTATCACCAACCCTCTACCTTAGCAAGCATGATGCCTTTCTCCAGGAACTAACCTTTAGACTCGCTGTGAGTTGGAATCAGCTAGAGAACAGTGGGTTTGGAGTCTCATATTTAAAGAAAACATTGCCTATTTCTTAATGGCACTTTTTGATGGATAAGTTTTCATGAAGTTCATCACATCAATTTGTTTCTGTTATAGCTTCTGTTTGTTGTGTCAGGTTGGAGAAAGGTGTGTCAACTCCAAGTGTGCAAACATTCTCTTGCCGTAGAGGTTTTATTGTTTTACTTGGGCCTATAATCCATTTCAAGTAGTTTTTTATACATGTTGGGCGGTTACCATTCACTCCCACCCGAGCCTCCATCCCTTAAGAATAGCCAGCATTTAGCACCATTTGTTGAAATGAATTTTCTTGTTCTGTTGAATTGCTTTGACACATTTGTAAAAAAAAACCTCTCACTGTCATTGAGTTGATTCTGACTCACAGCAACCATCTAGGACAGAGTGTACCTGCCCTTAGAGGTTTCATGGCCTCTATGGGAGCAGAAAGCCTCACCTTTCTCCTGAGGAGCTGCTGGTGGTTTCAAACTGATGACCTTGTAGTTAGTAGACCAACTCATAACCACTATGCCACAGGGCTTTGTAGATGCTTTGGCTAACTTCTGGGCGCTCTATCCGGTTCCATCACACTTACCTTCTCCATCCTCTTGTCAGT